TTGAAATATTCCATTATATAAACCTTCGAAGTATTACGTTACATAGTATTACATTACATAGACCTTCGAAGTATTACATTACGTAGGACTCCGTGGGCCTCATAGGTTTACGAAAACCTATACAATGTAAATTTTTGAAGTACTCTATTATATTTAAATTTGTGATGTAGTTTTAATAAATCAAACTAATTAAACTAATTATGATTAAAAGAATTACTATTTATATACTTTTACTAATTAAACAATTTTAGCTATATTTATATAATATAAATTCAGTACATAACTTAATTAGCAATATAAAATATATAAACTTAATAAAATAAATATAATAAATAAATAAATAATCAAAAAAATAGAAAACTAAATAAACTAAATAAATTAAGTAGACAGTCAATATTTTTTGATAGTTTATATTAAAATCATTCAATTAATTTGAATATCAATAATATTTAAAAAAATATTTTATTCTTTTTAAAAAATGATTTACTTATTATTCTAAAGCAATTATAAATTATTATTTTTTAAAAGAAAGATTTTTATTATAATATTAAAATAATAAATTATAAAATTGTTTCATTATTAAAAAAATTATTCTAAAAAAATGAATTTTACTATTCTAAAAATAAAATATTATTTTAATAAAACTATTATTCATTAAAAAAATATTGATGAATTATTTTTCATTAAAAAGTTTTTTCATTATTTTAGAAAAAAATATATTTTAATTATTAAAAACATTTATATTATTCTAAAAAAAATATTTTATATTATTTGAAGAAACAATATATCAATTCTAAAAATAAAAAAAAGATTTATTTATTATATTAAAAAATAATATAAGAACTTTACAATAAAAAGGAAAAAAAACTTTAAAAAATTTAAAATTTTACTTTTTAAGCTAATTATGATTTTTTTAGCAAAATAAGTATAAATTAAATATTAATTTAAAAAAATTTTTTTTTAGAATTTTCTCTTTTTTACTGCAAAAGCTCCTATATATTTAAAGAATTATTATATCAAAAATTTATTATTTCATGTTTTAAATAACTTTTATATCTTTTAACTAAAAATATTTATCATTTTTTTAAAATAATTTTTATTATAATTTTAGATAAAATTAAATTGAAATAATTTATAATTAAATAATTAATCTTATAAATTAAAATAGATTTTTTAGCTAATTAAATATAATATTTCAATTTAATATAGATTATTGATAATAATAGTAAAATAAGAAGATTTAGTAATAACAAAATATAATTTTTAATACTTAAATTTACAAAATAAAGTTTTAAGATATTATATATAATAAAAATTTAAATATTTAATATGGTAAAAAAAATTATTTATATATTTAATGATTACAAACTATTTTTTGCTATTTAATTATTATTCCAAATATAATAGTATTTATTAAATAATATAAATATATTTTAATATATTTAAACAAATTAATAATAAAAAAGTAATTTAATTTTTTTAAAATATATAATTTAAAATATAATTAATTAATATTAATATTATATATAATTTAATATTAAATTAAACTATTTGCTTATTTTTTCATTTATAATATTTAAATCTTCTATTAAATTAAATATATATTAAAATTAAAGTAATAAATAAATTTCATTAGTTTTATAAATTTATAAATTTAATAATAATTACTAATATACTTACCAATAATTTCTAAATTTTTATTTTCAAGTTCTAAAATCTTATTTAATTTCTCTGTAAAATCTAATAAACGACTTGTATGATATGCTTGTAAATGAGATTTAATAATAATTTTATTATTATTAGAATCATTATTTTGCTGTTGATTTAATAATTTATCTGCTTTATAAAAGTCTATAATATCTTTTTTTAATTCTTTATCAAAATTATTAGTAATAATATTTTTTTTCCAACTTTTAATAATCTTTTTAATTTCTATTACAGTTGGTCTTTTTAATAGATCCATATTCCAGCATTTTTTCATTAAATCTATATAACATTGTGGAATATTTTTAATGATTTTAGGACGTTTACCTTTACAAATATCTAAACTAAGTTGAAAATCATGAGCTTCATTATCAAATGGAGAAATTCCAGA